CTAAGGTTTTTTAATATCTGGCATATATATTTGTTTATATTGCTGTTCAGAACTGTTTTACTCCAGCCACACAGGGATTTTAAGCCTTATTTGATTGTTTAAGCTCTATCTCCATTGGATTTAAATTCAGACTTTGACTAGACCAATCCAAACAGAGCTGGATTAGCTAGCATGAATTTCCATCCTTGCATAAACCAAGCTTAATGGAACCAATGGTTCCATTAAGTCCCACATCATCACACTACCACCTCCGTATTTCTGTCAGTAAAATGCTGCTTATGCACCAGATGTAACAGCATTACGGATCATCAAGATGTTGTTTGCTCAGCAGTCATTTTGAACTGAGAAACCTCCAACTATGGCTGGTTTTACTTTCTTAATGTTATATAAATTGCTAATCTTGACCTTAACTGAGTCAGCTGAGACCAAGCGAGCTTCAGATGTTGTTCAGCCAATGCAATCTCTGAGTGAACAACCTCTCCTGGGACGGTTCCCCACAGTTCCATGTTCTCTCTGTCTGTGGACAGTGACTTTCACTTTGGACCCTAAATGTCTTTGAATGTCTATATGACCCTGTAAACTGATCTCATCTGTTCTTGGTTTCTTTAGATTTGGGCAGGATCTGCTCCTGCTGGCAATGACCCCTTAAAGTGATATCTTCATTCTATATGCAAGCAATAACTACGTTGGCGGCTAAGGAGATGAAACAAAGAATGTAGCTGATAACAATCGATTCATGACATAAAAAAGTTATTTATGTTTCACATAGAAAAGGTCGTTTAGGATAGCTTTATAAAAACCCTAATTTCAAAACAGCCTTCTGTATTTACTCAGGTTATCTTTGCCAGATAAATGAATATAGTCTCATAATTTGAAAGATCCAAATGTGAAAAAAGAAGATAACCCTCCCAGGGGCAAGGGTTTTATCATAGCACTGTAGCTGAGGGTCAACAGAAAAACATCTGTGCTCTATGCAAGTTCAATCCTCACACACATGCATTTCACAGTGTGAAAACAACACCTCTTGAAAAGTACTTATGAAGCATCTTAACATTGAACCAGAAGTTATTGCCTGGCTTTTCTGGCAATGATGAGGAGGATTGCTTGTTCTGTGCTGTGCATGGTTGATCTTGTTAAAGTCTTTGGTGGGACAAGCAGCAGTCTGTCTCCATGGTGTCGGACGTGGACAGTAGTTGGTAATGTGAAATTCCCTCAAAACAGTGGAATATTTCAGTAGTTTGATTCATAAATCCTCCAAGTTATGCATGTGTGCTTAGGCCTGGCTGAGCCAGAGGAAATGAAAGAGATGAAACAGAAAGCAATAGAACAGAAACAAATGATGTAACCAGCAATGTACTATGTAATTGCATCTCCGAGTAGAAAGTACCAGGTTGAAAGACAACTCCAGGGGGCCTGGGGAAACCTCTGCTGGATTACAAACCGGCACCCGTGGGTTTGAAGAGCATGTTTCTAAAGGGTCCCAGTGAATTATCATCAGCCCACCCACTTTTTTTTTAATCCTCAGCAGTGTTAAAACGCTTTACACAGGTGCACCCACCTTCACTGAATACTAAATATTACTGTACATCATTTTACAAACTCAAAATAAGCTCGACATATAATAAAAATACGCACACATTTTGATAAAATATCCACAACAATTATTGCAACAATCTCTAAAAATAAACACATGTAACTACTACAGCCATTAAAAAAAAATCTGATAAGTTAATAAGAGAAAACAATAAAATAAAAATCACTTCAAATGCAAGTACTATGGCATACCAAGGAGGAGGGGAGAAGGCTTTGACTAAACCACCAGCAGCTCTGGTCTACCTACGTCCAATAGGACAAATGAACAGGAAGGGTTTACTTGTACTTCTGGCTATGAAGCCATGAAATCAAGCAGCAAACACACACAGCTGTAGCCCTATTAGTTCTCTAAGTGCTCCAGTATCCCTCTCAGGTTGGCATGGTGGTTTTTACGGTGTACCTGGATTGAAGACAAATGGACAATGGAGACAAAAACATCTGCAAGGTGCCCTTCCAGGTGTATGCTTGTCCCGTTTCCCTTCGGCCAAAAACTTCCGTTTCATCATGAACAGCAGTAAAAGTACAAAAACAAAAGAGTTCATGTGAGATTTTTCAGTGCACGCTCAGGTGAGGCAGCACCCAGCGCGGCTCAGAGTAACAATCAACCTGCTCATTGCCAACTTGCAACCATTTTATTCCCTTTTAAGATAGAGTTCTCCCCATTCCTACCTAAACTGACTCCTTACGTCATCCCTTGCATGGTATCTCTTTCAAACGTCCATCTGTACTCTGTCTTGTTGCTGCAGCCAAGAAATATCTCCAGCCCCACAGAATCAACCTCATGGCAACAATCACTTTCGGTCAAAACTTTCTCTCAAACCAGTTCTTAACCTTGAAAATACAGTCTTATCAACATCATTAAGGGAAATTATTTCCCCAATAAAATTCAAAAAGGGAGATTTATATAGATCTTTTTTACCTGATTTATTTTAACCATTTATTTCTGCTAACTATAATGATCATGGCTAATGAAAACCCACACAGTCGTAGGGAAGATGGCCGACCTGACAGTTTTCCATTAAGACTCTCTTTAAGGGAGATAAGCTTTACAGGTCATTGTTAAAGACATTCGATTTTCACACAGGGTTTTATCCAAGAATATTAATGGAAAATTTAGCAGAAGGAAAAAAGACTTGTAGAAAAAGCTCTCCACATTAAGGTGAAATTAGAAATAACTTGCATATCAATGTCTCTGAGTCTCTATAGGGTGAAGGTACTGAAGCTCAGAATGTAGTTTTGTAATGGAACCAGTAGGTTGCCAGTTTGAGCCCCTGCTCTTTTTGCCTCAGTAGTTGTGTCCTTGAGCCAGGCACTTTACCTGCTTGTCTGACAGAATTTAAGCTAAAATGTTTGGGGTCCTTTGGCTCAATAAATTGTTATATAAGTATTGTCTTGTATTCTAGGAACCAAGGGACTTGGTGATGTTGGTCTGCTGTATTTCAACGTGCCCAAAGTCTATTTTGGAACAAAGTTTATAGACATACAAATTGTATTTTTTGATAGGACTTTCTGTCTACACCACAAAGACCTACTTTAATGATTTAATCATCACTGCCCTTGACTGCTCAGAAAACTCATATTTTCTTCTACCACAACAAAGCGTGCTTCAATCAGAGGCCACCAGACATTACAATTCAGATGGTCTCTAATTGAAGCCTGTTTTGTTGTTTCCATGACCCCCATAACAGAGGATTTACACAGGCATTTTTTACCACACTTTTTCCTCCCACTAAATTTTCCATTATTTGCAATTATACTCTATTAATGCTCAACTTCTGTCCTGGCAATGACCTTTTGCTAACCCTCAATGTGGCCTGTACAGCAACTGTCAGGTAAGATTTATTTATTTTATATATTTTATTTTATAGATGTTGTTGAACACAACAACAAAACAAATCTTAAAAATGCCTTGCTATTGCTTTTGTGTAAGAAAATGGTATTAGGGAATGGTATTAGGCCAGAGAGTAAAATGGATAAAATAGAAATCAATTAGTTATAGGAACAATAGTGATAAAAATGGCGTTGACGAGCAATATATTTGGTAATGTCAGGTTTTAATATATATATAACATAAATATCCTTCATAATGATTATTTTTTATTGTTTAGTTTTATTACTCTAGTGGATCTCAAGATTTTAAGCTGATTTGACTGTAAGACTGAACATTGCTGTTTCATTAAATCAAAGCCAGAATCATTATAATTAACAAAAAGAAATTAACTGAACTTTCGTACTTTATGCGTAGTAGATACCAGTAAAATACATGAAACAAATAGCATCTCATCAGATTATAATTTCATGAGACGCACCTTAAAAACTACTCTAACTCAAATGTTATACTGTAACATAAAAAAAAACAAACCAAAAAAAAACAACTTTCTGTTCATCTGTTCAATGCGGTGCGATTCCCAGAGAAAAAATAAAACCAAACTAAAGCCACATCCCTGGTGTCATTGTGACAGAGCTTCAGAACTACAGCATTACTCTACGTATATTTAATTCCCAAGAAATTTCCAAAGCAAAATTTAAAAAGAATTAATCTACCACTTTGGTAAGTACTCCAGGCAAGTTATCTCATGCACACAGGATAAGAAAAAAAGCTTGTGTGATTTCTGCTTTGACATTAATCTTCTTCATCTACGGCACGCTGTCGTTATGGGCAAGAAACGGCAAGGGCTGAGCCTACACCTGGAAGAAAGCTACAAGTGCCCTGATTAGGATGTCAAACCAGGGTAACGTTTCTCTCTGCGTATAGCTCTAGTCTCTCGTGGCTTTCGGGACCCAAGCCGAGTAAACTGTGTTGGTTAATCTGTAAGGCACTACGAGGGAACGACGATCAACATCTAAAGACTGAGGAGGATCCTGTGGAGATAAACTACACACACACACATGGCTGACAGTAGCAGACACAGACAATCACTTTGTACATGCCTATGTTATTATAACCACTTTGTGCAATCACATTGAAGAGAAAAAAAAGAGAGAAAAACTCTATTGGTATCAAGGGAGTAAAAAAGGAAATAAAAACAGGTGCATACTGCTACATTCTATACACGGGGCCCAGCTAAGACACCTAGATCCAACTGAAGCATCATAAAGGTGGAAAAACCAAAGAAAAAATATCTATAAATACACTAAAAGATTTGTTGTCTTCTGTTGGATAGATTTCCAGGTCCCTCCTCTGCTGGAGAAGGTGGAGTGGGTGGAGTTTCCTCTCTTCGTTTTCTCCCCACACCACAACTGATTTGGAAATACTAAGACAGTTCAAGGCCATCAGTATTGTTTTTTTTTTTCTTTGAAGAGCAGCAGGTTTCCGTATTTCACCTTGTCCCAAATCTTTTGGGTTTTTCAAACTTCCAGTCAATATAACCCCTGTTCATCAGTCACTTCCCACTTATATTAGGCAGGGGGGGGTTTGGGAAACAACAAAAATAAAACAGAAAACCCTTTCCTCGAAAAACACCTGCCGAACGCTTCCCCATTAAACTTACGAGATGTCTCTTTTTCCAAGAAGTAAAGCAAAGAGAAGAAAAGGCAAACAAAAGCTAAAAACTGGCCCTTTTCTGGGGGGAAAAACGTCAAAAGAAGAAAAATTGTAGCCATCTTTCCCTCTAATGACGATATTAGTCATGTTTCTTCCTGTTTCAGTCATTCTTTCTTCAAGTTACCCATGACAGCTTCATAAGGATTGCATGTTCCTCTGTCTCTGTTCATGTCTGAGGTTAAGGAGAGGATGTTGGTGGGATGGAGGAAGCAGCATTGCTGGGTCGGGCCCTCCAGGGTTAGGCCCTTCAGTGTTGGTCCGGCTCGTCTCTAGAGGTAAGGATACTGGTTGACCTTTGTGGGGCTCAGCGGGTATCCAGTGTAGACAGTGGAGGCGGGAGAGGCGCTGATGTAGGCCTGGTGGGCGAACTGGGCCTGGTACTGACTATGGTGCAGGGTGGGTGAGGGAAGTACGCGGTGGCTCACGGTAACAGGGACCTGGTGGACAATGCTGGGAGGGTAGCTCCCGTGCTGCACTGCGTGTCGCGCCGAGCTTTGTGACGCCATCAGGTGGGCCACAGTGCTTGTGGAGCCCAGAGCGGTGGGGGCTGTGTAGGTGTAGAGGTGTGGCTGGCTGGGGAGGTGGGTGGCAGCCAGGTGTGGGTGAACATTGCCAGTGTGGGAGGGGCTGTTGTGATGGAAGGAATATGAGGCTTGGGGCGCGATGTTTGGGGTGATGTAAGCCTGCTGCCGGCGGTGTCCGGCGTTCCGTTCAGCCACCATGTGCTGCTGAGCCTGGAATAAAGTGGGAACCCAGAGATTTCAGATCGAGTCTCAGGGGTTAAAATAATTCTTTAATGCTCATTTTGTATGCATCTAAATCCCTCCTTACCTGGCTAAGATTAAGGGGCTGCTGCTGAAGTGGGTTAGGCCCTGAGCGCTGCTGTCGGTAGGCCACGCCTCCAGCTGCGGCCCCTGGTAGGTTATTATTGCCCAATGTCACTCCATTGGAGGATTTAAACTTGTAGGCAGTATTCTGATGATTCATTAGTTCTGAAATAAATAGTGATAAATGAGTTTACCTGCAAAGAAGACACTTTGATTCTGTTTCCGACTTAGTGTTGCAGGAAGCATCCTTACCTGGCATCAGCCGCTCACAATCATTCGACACCTCACTGTTCTGTGTTTTTAGAGGGGGGATGATGATTGTGCGAGGGTTCCCATTGTTGCAGTTATCCAGGATGGTGTTTTTTGTATCGTAGCTGTTGTTGTTAATGTTGTTGTTGTGGGGTCTTGACTCTAGGTTGTAGGGGCTGTTGTGGCTGGAGCAGTCAGATTCTGGAGAATCATGGACTGTCACACAGCTAATAACATTTTTTCTATGTTTAGAAGATGAGCTGCAGAAAAGAAAGAGAAGACAGCCACTAAGAATACAGCGTATCTGGTTATATGGACATTACTTAGGTCAACAACCTACATCTAGTTCAGATTGGTTAAGCTGCTGTTCACAAATACTCTAAACACTAAAAAACACAATATTGAAGAACTAATCTAATATGAGCCAAAAAATAAAATGATTAATGTCATATGGATCATTTTCAACCAGGCAGTTTGTTCAGACAGAGAACCTACAGAACATGCACAGAAACAGCAGGGGTAACCATATCTATACTGAATTAGTTTTAAAAATATATTTCACAATAAATGGTCATTGTAAACCTTAGAGTAGTAGATTATAGCGCTGAAATTAATAATGAATTTATTCAATCATTTTGTTTAACTAGCATATGTCTACTGGTACAAATAGGAACATTGATTTAAAAAAATAAAACAGCTTCCCCTTTTACTATTTTCCAAAAAGCATTTTAAAAAGAAGGAAAAACAACATCTGATAAGAAAAAAAGGTCATATAAAGGGAAAAAAAATTTAAGTTAATTTAAAAACCCAATGAATTCCTCGATGATTTACAATTGTTTCTTGTTAAATATGCACAAAGAAGCATTTTCGCAGATCCTTCCTTCCAGCAGCTGTTAAACTTTATACCCATCACTGCTCTCAAAGAGCTTAATTAAAGTTTTCACATACATGTTTCTATTGTAGTTTTTTTTAACAAACATCTCTGCTATAATTTGCACAACTCACCTCTGCTGCTGTGGATTTAACTGTCACTTATTTTTAAATAGCCCTTTTATAGATTTTGTAATAGCTGCTCAGTATTTATATGAACAACTTTGGCTGTTACTGTACAGCATTTTTACTCTTTATTCTGTTTTTTATACACTTTTGAGGTTCCATTTTATTGTCAATTATTTAATCTAAAATGCCTTTCACTTTGATGCTGTTGCACAAACATGTCCCCATTGCAGAACAAAAACACATTTCCTTGACTTGTTTTGTATTTTATTCTATTCTATTTTTCCTATTCTATTCATTTTTTCTTAATGTATTCTATTCTCTTATTTTACTATTCTATTCTCTTATTTTACTATTCTATTCAATTTTTTTTAGATTCAACATTTTCTATTGCAATTTAATGCGGAAGCAAAAATCAGAACCGACCCGTTGTTCTGTTTTTGGTCATCCTCCTCGTCTGAGTCGCTGCTGATGGTAATGATGCTGATGGCAGGGCTGGGCGTGTCGGGGATGATGATGGTCTGTCTGGGGCCATGGTGCTGATGGTCACGAGTGGTGCTGGAAGCCTGCTGTGCTTCGTGAGCCCCCCATCCTCCTCCAGCACATCCCTGCGAAGGCAGGTAGTTGGTCCCCGACCCGTTCTGCAGTACGGCGCAGCGAGGGGGCGTGTTCTCTTTCACCCGCTTCGATCGTTGCGGTGACAGTACCACCTGCGAGGATGATACCTCGTAGGTCGACGTGTTCCTGGGAAAAACAGAGCTGGAGGTGAGAGATAAGGACACTAATGCTGAGGATTCAACAGAAATGACTTCATGATGGGGGAGTTTTAAAATCCTTTCTTTTAGAATGAGTACCTGGTCGGCATCTGGTGCTGTTTGGCCTTTTTGGAGGAGGAGTTGTTGTTGGACGATGGCTGCCTCAAGACATGTGCCACGCCTACATTGAGGGTCTGGTTCGATGGGAGTGTGACATGACCAGTCAGCAGGGCTGGCTGCTGCATGATGGGATTATAATGGCTTCCATGGGGATGCGAATTCCTGTAAAATAACAAATTTTAAAAGTTGCCCTCAATTAATTAGAATGTCAATAAAACTCTTCTTTAAAGCTACAGTGTGTAATTTTCAGCGACATCTAACGTCCAGACTGCAGACTGCAGCAACATGAACATCTCCCCCCCACCGCTTCTCCCCCCCAACAGTACGGCGAGCGTTACGGGACAAAATGTCTTCCACGACGTCTGCATCACCTACCTTCTCAAGTGATGAGGTTTGTTTACATAGATAATTTTAATACTGCCATCTATTGTTCAGTACCGTCTCAGTTCATCTCTCTCAACTTGCCGTAGTTACTTTCGAGCGTAATGGGAGATCTCGCAATCGCTAGTTTGTTGGCTCTGCACTGCCGTAGCGCAAAGATGTCTGCCTCCATGGCTGCGAGACCCGCTCCTATGTAATTATAAATAACGAATTCTAAGGCAACGCAAATATTAAGGTTAAGAGGCTGAGCTCGTAGATAATGATAAATAACATAGTTATGTATAATATATTACATTTCTGACTGTATATCCCTGTAATTATTACACACTGTAGCTTTAACAATAGCAAATGATACGTATATTCCAAGTGTTGATTTTTTGTACATTTTATCAGTGTGGTTGGTAGCTAACGAAAACCTAAAATTCTGTTTCCATTCTTAGAAAGTTAACTCATACCAGCATTAAAGGGGTTTTAATCAGTAAATGAACAGCTTACCCATGCATGGCATTGTATTGTACTTGGTCTGGGCTCATTCTACATGAACTAGTGCCTTTTATCGGTGTGACAAGGAGGATATAAGCCTGTGCTTCTGCTGGAGTGTTAAAAAAGCTCCTTTTCAGCTCGTCTGCAGGGTTGGTTCTGGGGTCTCTCCCCTTCCTCAGTACAACATATCATGGTTGCTGACATGGCGGATCAAATTACTAACTGTGGATTCTCCAGTCTAGGCCTTAAGAAAATCGGATTTTGGGACCTTTATTTTTAATATAACAAACAAAAATATACTTTACTCTGAAAAGAGGACTTTGGATCACTATAATATTTTGCTTCTTGTCTCCTTAACTTTGCTTAGATGCCACTGGCCTTGTGTTTGGTTTCCAGTTGGTTCAACACAAGGACTTGTTCAGCTGCAGCCCAGGAACTGGATATATATTTGTTTCTAGACTGGAATTATTTCCCCCTGTTGCTTAAGTACAGTTTTCTGCCATACTTTTCCTTCCACTAAACTTTCTTTAATAAGACTGTTTATAGCATTAGCTATAAGGAGGATATCAATGACTATCTGTTGGAAGGCCTTTCCTATATTCCTGTTAGCTGCTGTATGGATATAATTTGGATGTAATTTTTATTCTGTTTAATAAATTATTTTGTACAGAGTACATGTCAGACTTAATAATACTACTTTAGCGATAGTCAATTTTCTTAAGCTGTACACAATAATAATCAGAATTACCTTAATAAATCCATATTAGTTTGGCATATTTTTAGCAGAATTGCTTTAATTAATAAACTGACAAAATGTGAAATAAGCAAGAAATGGCAGAAGAAGCAGCAGAATCAACATAAAACATTGACAGTGTATAAAGTATTTCACAGTAAACACCAGTAGGTGGTAGCAGTTAGCTTTTCTAAAGAGGCCAAAATGAGAGAAGAGAGTGAGGAGGGAGCAAAAGGGAGGGCAGAGTAGCAGACACCAGCAGCTGCGGAGCGATAGCTCTGCAGAGGAAGTGCGACACTTTCTTGATCTTCTCTCAGAGGACCAAAAAAATGCCACTGGACAGGATGGGAGGGAAACACATGGAGGGGGCTGATGGACAGCCCGGAATTAATCTAAGCATTCATCGCCCCAGCGGCCTTCCATAAATACAGCTATACACCCCCCATGTCCCTGCAGATATCCTGCTTCAATCTATCCTCCTATTCATCAACCTTGCTATGACAGCCTGCAGTCTACATGATGTCTGCATGTGCATACGGTGTACCCTCCATCTCTGAGGTCAGTTTGCTGTTGTTCCAGCACAGGGTCCCATTTGAAGAAATGAATTTGTTGGAGAGGTAAAGTAAGCTGATGCACAATTTTCCACAACCTTTTTCTAAGGTTTTCAATTTCAAAATATTGTGTTGTGTAGAGAAAATACTTTAAAACATGCAAGAAAAAAAGTTTGTACCTCCAGTTAGCGAGAGTCTGCGTGCTGCTCATGGAGTCTGGGATGACGGTGGCATGCTGGACTGAGGTGTGAGTAAGCTGCTGCCACGCTGGAGGCAGCAGGATCTGCTGGGTGCCGCTGGGCCAGGCCTGCTGCAGAGAGAGCACACAGTCGGGCCAAATATATAAAGGTCAGAAAAAGGAGACAGAAACAGAAAAGCTGGCCAAGTAATGTACAGTGTCAGGCAAAAAGTACATGAAATCCATGCAACCCAAAATAGAAATGTATGTTTTTGGGATCTTATGCGATAGACTAAAATAAAACACAAATATTTGGCCTTTATGGAAGAGTGGAACCATCGCAGAAAGAAATTCTTTGAAGTTCTCCTTGCTGTTGGTGCTTTGGTCAGGGAATTAAATCGTTAAAACTTTTTAACCTGCATGTAAAACATATGCGAGATGTAAGACAATCCAATCCACTTTATTTATATAGCACATTTAAACAACTAAATGTTTCCAAAGTGCTGCATACGCAAGCAGGTAAGTATAAAACAATAAATATAAATAAAATTGTTTAAAACAATAAATAGAGTAAAGTTAATAGAAGGCCACAGGGGACCACACAACTTTACACAATGCTAAAAGACAGAGAATAAAAGTGAGTCTTAAGACGAGGTTTAAAACACTCCACGGAGGGATCCGTATACTGAGGGGCAGAGCTTAAGGCCGAAAACTGAGAACGTTCTGTCCCTTCTGGTATTCCGATTTGTCCTAGGAGTCACAAGCTGGAGCTGGCCCTCAGACATCAAAGCGATCAGGGGACGGTAAATTTGGATGAGGTCTGCAATGTACTGAGGTGCCAGTCCATTCAAGGCTTAAAAAAAAAATAAAAAATTTAAATCAATTTTAAACTTAAGAGAGAGCCAGAGCAAAGACGCAAAGATTGGGGTGATGTATTCAGCTATTTTGGCGCCTGTTAAAAGTCGTGCCACAGCGTTCTGGACTAATTGCAAGTCATCAGACAACTTGAAATAAAGCATGCACGACTTGCTCAAAAATATTAAAAGATAAACACGACTTTACTTTGAAAAACACCATTGATCTGTTTATCAAATTTAAAATTGCTGTCTATGATGACGCCAAAGCTGCTGACTTTGGGACACAAATAATTCTGGAGTGATTCCAATATATAACATACACGCCCCCCTAAAATCCCCTCCCCATGTCAAAACACGGTGTGGCAGAATCATGCTATGGGTATCATTCAGCAGAGACAAAATAAAGCTCATCATATTTCAGAAGATAATTGGAGGGAGGTAAAACATTTTAGGAAAAACACTTGCTGGAGGCTCTAGAACCTTAGATATACAGCTACTGTAGAGCTACAGTTTTGCTCAAAGTGAATTGCCCATTCAAAGTCCACATATTTATGCAATAAGAAATATTTGACCGGAGTTTGAAAGTTTCACAGATGCTCCCTTCCAATCTAACTCTAACCTAATTTAAAAAAAGAAGAATGGGTCAATCGAAGGGAGCTGTCCCATTTGAACAGCAACAGGCAAATAACTTCACCATTTTTTTGTTTTTTTGGCATGATATAAATTATCGTTTCTTTTTGAACAGCATTAAACTCAAACCATTGCAGCTGCTTGGCAAATATCCAAAGACGTTTACCAATTTGGAAGAGACATCCATCAACAGAACAGAGTAAGCAAGAGCCTAATAAAGATACCTCAGCTCCTTCCTTCGTATGCTGGTGTACGACCTAGTGAGTGAGAACATGGCAGCTGAGTGTGTGTGATGCCTGCCTGATTATGTGTCTGATTCGTGTCAAATCAACCAGCGCTCTGATTTAATTCCTATTTCTCTTCAGGCCGCTTTGAAAGAGGCTATTATGAATTTTTGATGCTGAACTAGCTGATGAAACCTGCCTCGAGAAGAGCCATGTGTGCCTGAACACGTCTGTGTGCTGCTCTGTGTGTAGCCCTAACAGTTTAATGCAGCTCTATTGATTAGCACTTTAATGTCAGTGCTAATGAATTGTTCCTTTAATACCGTTTATGCATCTATTTACAACACCATCAGTATGAGCTGCAGCACACCAATATTTAAATAGAGAAAACTGCAAAGGAGCACTTCCAATTCTTTACTATGTAGGGATTTCATTGTAATTTATATGCTTCACATCAACATGTTTTTACTGCCAATGATCGCAGTTAACATAAAATGGTTTTATTTATGAAACAAAAACATTGATGTAGAACAACCTGGTTCTGTGTGATACAATTGTTGATTTAGTCAAATCAAGAATAACCTGTTACACTCTAACATTTTTTTTTATCCAAACCCAGAGAATATCACAAAAGAGCCTTTCAGACACCATGAAGTAGGCACCTGTAATTGCACCACAAAATTACTTTGAAAAGCAAAGAACTGCAAGCCTGATGGCAGTGTGATGGTCAGGCGATTAATGAGGATTGATTTTTGAAGGACCCATGTATTTTTCCCTCTGCAGTGTTCAGCTACCAGTTTGTGACCTTAAGCTCACTTGAAGCAGCAGGTCAACGATCTGAAGCAAACCCCATCTGAACAGCTCTGAACAGCCAAAATGAAGTCTCATCAAAACCAGGAGTTCAATCTGATCCAAATGATGAGTTTAAACTGTTTTGTGGGAAAGAGCAGGCAAATATACCTGCACAGCCATGTAAACGACTAATTGTCACTTATCACTGTTCTTAGTGGCAGATGTTGCGGCCAAAGGTGGAACGATCAGATATGAGGTATTTACTCTTTTAAATGGGGCTTTGATACAAATTTTGAGATGGTTTGCAGCCATACATTAATTTATTTACTCACATCATCTGTCTGATGATATAAAACAACAAGGTTGGGCAAAAACCAAACGCAGAAAGACCTGTAGGGTTTTATAGCCTAGAAAGCATTAATGCATCGTTTTTATCTCCACCTTGATCTTTTCTTTTCTTTCTGCATGTGATTGATTGTTTTCAATGTTTTACTTGCACACATTATAACTGTAACAGTATGTGTGCTAACCGGTGGATATGTGTTTGTCTTTGAGGCGGGCTGCAAAGGGCTTAGGGTCATCTGTGCTTTTATATGACTGCTTTGTCTCAGCTATAATGACTGACATCTCTAATGGAACATTCTGGAGCTAGAGACAGTTTTTATATCTCAGACCACATCCAGGTCCTTTTATCAACATGCCATTAAGAGACTCTTATACGTCCAGCATGTCTCCTGCTCGCTCTATCTCCATTTCTGCCTCTTTGCATGCTTTTCTCCCAATGGGTCTGCGTTGTGTAACCAGCCTGTCTGCCCTGAAATGGTAACCCAGTTGAGAGGTTGTTTTCTTTCTTCTTAGTGCCTACCATCACTATCAGCAGCACTCCACCTCCCACCCCGACCCATACTGCCTGGGTGAAAACCCTTTGTCACCTCAGGGGCTTTCAAAGCCCAAGCTCTCACTCCCCAATTGTTTCCACATTTTCTGCATTCCTGCTCCAGATAAAGGTCCCACTGGTTTTCCTGCCTCCCGGCTCGGAGCCTGTCCCCCCCCAGCCAACCTTCGCTGCACCCATTGCTGCACAGCGAGACGCTGGAAACTAACCTTGGCTTGGTCCAAGGTTCAAGGGGAAGAGCAAACAGTATGTGGATGGAGTCACAGGTGGTGAGAACAGAACCAAGCGGCACGTACAGCGTGGCCATGCCTGCAAGACCTCCAACAGTAGAGGAATAAACACACTCACCACACACCCAGTTATTAGGTGTTCTGTTCGCTGGCCTGTAAAAACCATCTGCTTCAGTTAACTACTGCCTGTCTTTGTTTAACATGTATGCACACAGAAGAGACAAGCAACATCCGCAAGGCACAGAGAAAGAGCAAGACTGTCACAAAGTTATTGCAACTTGATATTATTAATTTCTTTGAAAATAGAAAATATTTGGTTTTAATCGGTTGTACACCCAGATCTGAAGATGTTACGATTTTTGTGGTCCGGGAATGCTTAGATGAAGCATTCCCTGACCTCTGGAGATCCTCCCGGGCTTGTAATTTGGAGCGCCTGACTTGGAAGCAGCCATGGAACTAATCATCGTTTGGTATCTGACAGATTAACCCGCCATAGAAACATATGCATGTGCACACACATGCACATGGAGCTTTGCTCCTTGCATGCTTGCCTACTGGATGATTAACTGGAGATAAGGGAACCATTCAAACTCCCAGGATTCTCACAGATATTTAAAGCCTGCATGGAAATTTCCATAGGGAGAGAGATCCAGAGTGGCAATGGAAGTTTTCTACACTTGTGTGTGCAAGAGGGTGTGATGCACAGTCACTTTCAGCAACGTGCAGCCAGAGTATATCAGCAGCTAAAACTCTGGCCCCCGATGAGCTTTCAAGACCTTTCTAGTGTGAGGAGCTGCTGCATCTGAAAGCATCAGAGCGTGGCAGCCTGCATTCAGGATAGCTAGGGCCATGGGGGGTTGTGATGCACAGGGAAGTTGGCCTAAATGCACTCAAGAATAAAACAGCAACCGGCAGGGGCAGTGTCCTCAGCATGGAGTGATTTCCATTCCTCATGCACAGATTCTGCTCTTGTGGAAAAAATAAGGAAACTAGAACTGAATGTGACTGGATGTCATGAAGTTCAAAGTCTGGAGGTATACCTGACCCGCAAAAGTTGTTAACGCTTAAATCTGAATCTGAGTTTTTTCCTACCTGTGTGAGGAGGCCAGGTTGAATCTGCAGAGGCTGGGCACCGGGGGCTTGCGTCACTATAGGAACAGCATTCTCCATCCTCACAGAGTAACTGGTGTGCTTGGAAGGGGATGCCTGCAAACCTGTGCATATGTCAAAGACATTTGAAAAATTATCATTTTGCATAACAGGGAATCAAAGAATACCTTCCTAACATAAATATACAGTATCCCAAAATTCATGATTACAACTCATAGAGTTCATAAAATTAATCAATAAAATAAAAATAAATAGAAGTGTAATTAAAAAATATGTTAATTTACAAGCAGTGTTTAGAGCGCTAATTCTGATCTTGACACAGTTACCTTTGGGAACTATGACTCAGAGCCAATAAAATTCATTCTCATCAAATATTTACTCTGCGTGAACCTCAAAACTCTTGAAGGTGCGTAGCTTTGCAGTCCTCTGCAGGCTGCGGTCATCTGTGTTTCTTCTGAAACCTTTTTCTAACACAATTTTTTCCTCTGCTGAACTTTCCATTAATCTGCTTGGGTTCTGCACTCGGAACTGCCAGTTCATTAATTATGACATTATTCTTCTATTGGATGGTGTCAGTGACTGGTTGATGGATGACTCTCAAATCAGCAGTCTTGCACATGTGTGTGTAGAGATACTGAAAATGTATTGAACTAAATGTTTGAAACACGATGTTGGGAAATGATTTACTTCCTTATATACTTTATTTAATTTTACTCATTTCTTTTTTTTTTACACCTCAATGTTTTAATTAGTATAAAATGCAGTTTTCAAATGATGACTTAATTTTTTGAGGGAAAAATCTGCCTAGTCTAACGTGGGCCCCAAACAAAATAAAAATTTTTTTTTTTATTTTGAGGGATTTTCAGTGATAACTATCACAACTTATAACAACATCTTAATCAGATTTAGGTAAGGCATATGCCTATGCCACTCCAAAATCTGTCCCCAAAAACACCAGATGTCATTTAGACGTTTTTTTTTTAGGCTTAATCTTGTCTGTGTTTGGTTGGTCTGATTGTCCCAGTTTAGTCCAATAAAAGACATTGAAAAGACGTTGCAAATCAACTATCTGAAACTTTTTTCACTTTTCAACCAAATATAAACGTCGTCTAGACGTAAATCATCACTTTTCAACCTATTTTTGCTTGGTGGGATTATAAATATATATATTTTAAATTTATATGTATAAGAGCAGTTTTCCTTAACATCATCGTCCAGCTGCATAATTCAGTAATGCCAGAGTTAACAGACTTATTTGTAATCTATTTTTAATATCTTTAGGTCCAGACAAGAATGATGATGATGAACTAATTTTTCTATTTAAAGGTTTTCTTGATTCTACATGGACTTTAGTTCCCAGTTGTTTATACTGTTTGTAGAGTTCAGTAATTTGTTTTCAAATGATTCAGGCATGGTTTTAATCAGTGTTATATGTTAAACAATCAAATGATATTCCTGGAATTTATGTATTTACTTAGGTTCAAAAAATGTAAGCTTAACAAAAATATATATGTTTACGTTTTTGAAGATCTGAATTAAATATCTTTTAACAGCTTTTCAAACTCTCCTAATCCATCTGTTAGTACTGATAAATATCATTTTTTAGGGCCTTCTTACCTTGGAATCCTGGTGGGCACACTATGAGAGCCTGCTGGAAGGGGTCAGGCCGAGCGGCGCAGAGCTGCGGCGCACCGGGCTGCAGGGGCATGCTCCTTTGGGTCACAGCCGCCATGGACGCAGCAGAAGGCTGGTAGAGTGCAGATTGGTAGTTTAGTATGGAGACATCGGGACTTGCAAAGGAAAGGGTGGCATTGTTGGTGGAGGAGGGAGCCAGGTTGGTGGCCTAAAGGAATGGTGGGACCAAAATAAAAGTCATGAAGGTGGAGGTACTGATGGAGATGACAGGGAGGTGGTTTGGGAGATAATAAAAAAGAAATCCAAAGGAAGAATGTTGGCAGTGGGAGATGAATCTGAATAGTTTCAAAATATGCAAAGTGCTGATTTGGCTAATAAGATGAGGAAAGAAAAAAGAATGGAAATGTAATCAATGTCACAGTTGGATGAATAATAACTCATCGACAATGGGTTATATTACAGTGCATGCAAACATGCTGCTTTTGTTTAAAGATGTAAGTCAAATGATTGTAAAAAGCAAGAACGTGTTGCACATATTGAAATTCTTCTCTTATGGAATTGGAAGAAAACAGAATAGAAAATATTTCATACATCCCCAAAGGGGCGAGCAAAAATATCAACATCAAATTAATCAAATAATGAAAACAAGAACCAAATTATTCACTCAGGATCAAAAACATGCATACTCATCTTTCATGTTGCAGGGAAACTAAGGGCATTTGAGATATCTACAAAATTCTTGGTTACTTCTGTCTCAATGTCTGAACACTGCTTCTATCAGAAGTGGTAGATTTTCTTTGAATAAGTTAAATATGCTTTATTTTTAAGTTTGAGGATTAAGTTAAGATGTTTTTCGTTTGTTATCCATTTAATATAGAAGCACGCTTTTCTAGACTGGATGTACAGCATGCCGGGCGTTATAAACCTCTTAGAGTATCCATTTGTGTCTACATTTCAATCATCCTACTCAAACCATCTTCAAATCAATTAACACATTCAAGAGAAACCAAGAAAAGAGCATGTCTGAAGCTGACACTGTAAGATACAGGAAAGGGAAGCCAATTTAACACCAGAATAAACTAAAGGTTAACATCCCTGAACCCTGACATGGTCAGCTGATTTGCCTCAGTCAAGGTGGGGGCAAAACATGCTACCAGGGATACTTTTGCCCCCAAACTAGGTGACAAAAAACATTTGGATATTCAAGGGAATAAGGGGTGGTGGCCTAGTGGTTAGGGCATAGAGCTTGGAATCCTGAGGTTCAATTGTCCTAAAAGTAGATCTATTTGGGTTTTATAATAGATAAAGCTGGTTTATAATAAACATCTGAAATAGCTTCTCCTCAACCCAATTTGAAATGTGTGTTCATGTCAGAAAACTACTGGATTTAAATAAACTTGACTAATTTTGACAGCAAAAAAGTGTCAAATATGAAGCCAGAATCATTCCAGATGGTTTCTGATTTGGAAGTTTGAAATTTTTTTTACAGCAAATAATTGGGTATAAACATCACTGAAGTTCCATATTGTTTTCTCAATCCACCTGGAAAAAAACATCTGTTGAAACAGGTCATCAGATGAATGCCAAAGTGGAAAAAATATGCTAATAATATGTTTGTGTAAAAGTTTAATCCCTGTTTTATTCACAAACCTCAGGGAAGCAGAATTCCAACTTAAATGTGACCAGGATCTAAAAATGTAGCTTAAGGCTAAGCTATATTTATTCTGCATTTTAAACTATTACACAAGCAGTGTTAAATGGAATTGCACATTTCGTAAATCACATGCAGCATGTTCTCTACGCAGTTCCTAAATCATCCACGTCTGACAGGAAGTCTTTTTTATCCAAGTGATATTGCATAATTATCTAATTTTAGATAACTTCTTCACACCTTATGCATTAGATGTGTGGAGGAATAAGGTTAGGGTAAAAAAGAAAACATGCGTGTTTATTTATTTTTAAGCTAAGATGTGCTACCAAGGGACATATGTTTGCATTAGGTGTGCATAAGAGCAGAATCATAATACATAGACTGTGCTTTCGCTTTACTCTCTTTAGTGAGAGGGATGAAAATTAGGAAGAGGAGTCATAATGGATATCTCTATGTGACATTAAAAACAGGCAGAAGCAGGAAAAAGAGAGAAATGATTTGAGATTAATAAATCGGTAACCATTCTAGTTAACTGCCCAGAGAGCCAGACGCAGAAAAGACAAGCAGGAGGAAATTCATTTAAATCAAAAGCAGGATGACTCCTTTTTTTTTTTTCTTTTTTGGTTGCATGTAATTCCATGCAAGCTCATTCAAGCTGGCGGGGCCGAATCCTGTTTTCTGGTGCGGTGATAGATGGGAGTGAGTAGGATTTGTAACTATGCACAGTGTGGTAAACAGTGTAACAAGACACTCTCTGATTCCTGCACAAGCCAAAAGTCAGCAGTTTGGATTCACAGACTATGTGGAAACAAAGTGGTAAAGCACCACAGGCTCAAGCCAGAGAAACGGGAGGGAAGAAGAGGAGACAGCGGCGAGAGGAAGCCTGGTGAAGGGGCTCTTAAGGCCCTGAAAGCCCAAGGATGCTGGGCAAGCAGGAAGTGGGGCTTGTCATGTGTGTGATCAGCACTTTATCACAATCCCACAGGCCCTGAGCCACAGACACAAATTCTGGGGACAAAGATATCCATGCACCAAAACAGAAAGAGAGGCTATACTAGAAAAATGGCAAACAGGGGGAATAGATTAATAAAAACATAATGAGAGCAGAAACAGCTCATTTCTGGCAGTAAAGTTAACAAACTTCTGACTAAACCAGCTTGTTGCCTTTGATCTGATTTTGTTTTAAATAATTTTGAGTCGCATACAACCACAAACTGCAATGCATTTTATGTGACAGATCAACAAAGAACATGTTTTTACATTCATAACCCTAAGTCCAACTGTGGGCAACTGACTCTCAGTGTAGGGGCTGAATAAATACAGCTGGGCTGGAATGTTTACACACCCTTCCATTAAAGACAGAAAAAATCAGCTGGCAGTAAAAAAAAAATAAATTAACAAAAGAAATAATAATAATAAAAAAAAATGGAAATCATGATATAGATTTGGAATATACAGTATATATGTACACATTAATAAATAAATTACATTAGTAGTGTGAATTTATTATTTCCTTTAATGGTAGGGTCTGTAAACTTTCAAGCACAACCGTATGTACGACAAACTATTCCAATATCTTTCTTGGAAAAATTTTTTAAAAACTTGTTTTGCTTTCCTTTTGCTTCACAAATGTGAAATAACTCTAAGGTGGTAAAATATGGAGAGTAATATCGGGGAAAGATAAGATCTCTCACTTTTGTTTTTCCAAATCCTTTAAAATATGTTTTTTTTTCTCTGCGGATTCATTAAAAATAAATTTCAACTGACAGCCTTTTGCAGGGCGCTGTGCTAATAATGTAAGTAAAACCTTAAAGAGAGAAAAGACAACAAAAGGCAACCATTGAGCACATTTCTACCCATCGATCCGACTCCACAGAGACATAACTTTTCACTCTCACCTGACTGTGCACAGTGTTCAGCTGGTTGTTGAAGGTCATGGTGAGGTTGGTGGAGGTGCTGGGGGCCACATGGGTGATAAAGGGCGTTTTGCTCTGGTTGACTGTATCATACATGTTGACACGACGTTTGCAGATCTCCATGTTTTGGAAGCATGACTTTACACTGCAAAGACGGGAGATGGGAAAACAGTAGTAAACCAATGTGACTTAAACAGCAGAAGTGGTATCAAGAGACATACAAAGGTCTTTGGAGCACATACTGTGTGCTGTGAGGGAAATCAAGGAGATGTGACATGGTAACGAAGGGGTGGTTAAGTGTTTCGATGGGGGTGATCCTCTTGTCAACGTCAATGGTTAGCATCTTGGTCAACAGGTCGATGAACTCCCTCCGGTCAGCCTTTTCTGCCAGCATGTCGCTCCCCTCAAGATCCGATGTCATGTTTACCTGAAAACAGAAAGCAAACACACACTTTATTACCGAGGTTTATTTTATTTAGTCCTTTCAAACCAGGAAGTACAGGCTTTCAAGTTATAATGTACAAGCTTAACATTTACCGTTAGCATTCAAATAAACAAATAAAGCTTTAACATTCACATTAAAATACAAAAATAGAATAGTTGCAACAGACATATTTAGAAAAGGTTCAAACTCACCCAGTGAGACAAAAGAGGAGCACAAATCAGATAAAGTCTTTTTATGTTGTTAAGAACCCACTCAAATGAGAATAATGTTTACCAAGCATAGTTAAAATCCAATGTAAACCAATGCTGTTTCCCCATTAAGCCTAATAATGACCAAGAGACCCAAGTATAAACTACACAGTGATGCATTCAATACAAAAAAAATACAATTAGTTAATAATACCTATAATATAGACAGAAAAGTGCTGAGGCATACAGATAAAAAAGCAAAATCGAGAATGAATAAAAGAGGTAAGAAAGGAAGCCACTGCTAAATATCATCCACCTAAACACCTAAGTATTTGTAGGATTATATGATTGCACTATTTCTGATATGGAAGCAATCTTAAAAAAACAATACTAGCCCACCTCAGAGAAAAATCTGCTTTGTGAACTAAGGCATCATCTGCATAAAGGTGTAGATGATGCCTTTTGATTATATCATTATACCATGTGGATGCTAAGGGGTCATGTCACAGAAACCGCCTTTGGTCTGAACGTTTTTGCTGAGGAATGGAAACTTAATCAGCTTTACTAAGTATGGTTAAGATCTTTAAATTGAACTCAGATTAATCAGAAAATACATCAGAAGCTTCTAGAAAGCAAATGTCAGTTGTTCATTTAGGCTTTAAAGAAGTGTGCATTGACATAACAGGAAGCTTAATGTAGTAAGCAATGGCTACTCTGATTGTTCCTTTTAAAGGGTTACATTTTCTCCTGTCATGGAGCATTTATCAATTGGGAAACATTAATAATCTTTGTAAGACAACATTAAATACTCATAGGTACTAGGCTTAGCTAAAATAACTGCATTGACTATTTAATCATATAATATAAGCTGCTAAAGACACTTAAGAAGCCAACTTTGTATAATTATGTTTCAGTTTAATAACCAAATAAATGTTTAACTGTAGATGTTTGTAACCCCAACTGTGGCCGAAATGCAAATAACGATGACAACAGAGTTACTTTCAGCTAAATTTAGTTAAAGCTGAAGTCTGTAAGTTTTTAAAAATCACTTTTTTGTCATATTGGCTAAAACTGTCCCTATGCCCAGACAGCAGTACATGTGATATGTAACCTGTGAAAAAAACTGCTTCAATTGGTCCCGCCTACTGCCTGTATTGCAATCTGGAAAGAATATTTCGGGACGAGACAAAACAACCAATCACAGCCAGAGGAGCGTCTGATGGAGTGTCAATCACAGCTCACACACGCTGAATCCCGCCCCCTACCTCTCACCGCTGAACCTGCCGCTGCCGCCCGGCTGCTGCAGTCAGGAGGACGCGCGTGGAAGTCATGGCGGAGCGACAGCCACCAGCGAAAGAGAAACTGCCCTTACTGCCCCTGCCGACAACTGCTTACACAGCAAAGACTTCAAAAAAGAAGATGTCAACGGAAGAGCTGCCTCGTAAGCTGCTTGGACGCTTCTGGTCGCATGCGGTAGCCGCGCAGATGCTGTGAGAGGGGTGGAGCTTGGAGGTGGGGCATGAGTGAAGCAGAGAGGGTGGGGGAGTGGCGTGAAACCTGTTTTTCTTCAAATTTTCAGTCGAAGTCTGCTCTCTTCTCAATGTTACAGACTGCAGCTTTAAATAACAGCTTTTTTTAATGTAAAGGTGTAATTAGATGTTGTTCTGTAGAATTTTTTGACTTAGTTGTTGTATAGCTGTGGGTGATAGCATCTTCTATAGAGGTCTGCCTTACTGTACACTGGATCTGGAGGCTTTGTCAGAAGACATTCAGTTGGTGTTTCACAGTCATCTGAAAAGGATGCTCACTGTTGTCCTTCATTTTATGGAGAATTCTTCTTGGTAAAATTAGCTCCAGGCTTTCTAGAGGAGTTTCCAGAAAAGAGCCAGCTCTCTTTATTCGTTAGTTAAACTTCTCAAAGCCATTTGCTCTGATTCTGCTATCCCAACAGATGATGGCTGAAGAGGTGGCACTCCCCACAGATGTACAGAAGCTATTATGCATCTTGCTGAAAACGCAGAAGGACCTTAACTCAGCTCAAAAATTTTATTCTGCTCTACCTTCTCATAAATGCCTTCATATTTATGTCTCTCATGGAGTCTGTTGAACATGTAAAGACTGAGGTATTTATCCTCCTCCACTACCTCAGCTTCTTCTTCCATGATGGTAATAGCATTTTGACATTTTCCTGTTTGTTCTAAAATCTACTATCCTCTCCCTTGTTTTTTTAACATTTAGGATCAGATGACTGTCACCATGTCACAAAACACTTCACCAACTCCCTGTACAACAACTTCAGAGTCATCTGAGTATTTTGCTGATCACAGGATTCTACCTCGTACAGAAAGTTGGAGGTGTGCAGACTACAAAGGAATATTGAGAATACGGTCCCCTGTAGCATGCCTGATTACCTAAAGCTAAGTTAAGGGAATTTTCCTTTTACCTAAAAGGGTTTGAAGCAGATTTTACTCATTTCAAATATATAAAAAAGGCTGAATATCTTGTGATCTTCGACATTACATTTTTAACCGAGCAAAAAAGAACTTGAATCTGTTTTACTAAGGTGTAATGGAGATATCCTTTCAGTTTATTAATGAAGATGGTTTAATATTTAAATACTGTAGGCTAAAACATTTATTTATTTATTTTTACCATCAATAACTCTTGATGTCAGTTCTAAAATGTCAGTATCTGGAGGTCAGCATTTTATAAAATCTGTAAACATAAATTGGCCTCAAAATATCTATTATCTCTAGATTCATACATTTCCTAAATGCATGATTCATGATATCAGAAAGATCTCGACCACATAATTTCCCCAAGAAGGAGTCTAATAATAAACAGAAGGTCTCATAAATTAAGGGTCTCAGAGCTGAGCGATAACCTTGTACTTCAGTGGGATTATAAACATTTGCACTGATATTCATAGCAGCAGATGAAAAAAAATGTCCTGAAACCTCCAATGAGAATATTCTCTCCTCCAAAGATGTAAAAACAAACAAAAAGGAGGAACTCGATAAACACAGCCACTGGCTGTCAGTAAAAAGGCTTTCCACACAGGACATCAGTTTGTGAGCAGCTCTGAAAAAGCTGACACAGCATCTTAATGTAAATTTGTTCTAAGGAAATTCTGGGAAGCTGTCTTGAAACATCAAGCTGCTTCCGCTGTAATAAACACTGTGGCCCAGGCAGCGGGTAAATACTTGGCAAGGCAACCCATTTCTGCTTTAACCAAGACACATAAGCAAAGATTGATTTGGTATTTAAGGCACTAATTCTGATTCTGAAGGCTTTTTTTTAGTGTTGTCGTGTCTGGTGTGGTATGAAGAAAAGGGGACCAAGGTCACGATGCAGCAACTCAGGCGGCCAGGGAGCGAGCAGGCTGTCAGGCAGAGCGAGGACCAGGACTGTGGCAACAGACAGGCAGCCTTGTTTATTGTGACTGCTCTGCCGGTGGAAGCAGCCTTGTTTTTCATAAAGACGCAGCGCTTATCTGTGAGCCTGCTCCAGGGTCTATCAGATGTGCTGCCAGTCAACACGGCAAATCTGATTCAAGCTCCTATCTTCATGCAAGCTATTCAGCTTTAGCACCCATACTTCTTTGTTTGCCTTCTTCCCTAGCTTTGATAGAGAAATAGTCTGTGGAATGAGGTAAGAAATAATCATAATGTATTCTGCAGGAAAATGACTTCGGGGAAATGTGCAAATATACGTCTAAGAAAAATAATAAATGAATAGAGATTAGGAAAGAAAAAATCTTATATGCTGATTTTTTTTTTAAACAGAAAAGCTAGACATTTTACATCTTTAAAAAACTTTCAAAGCACTCAAAACAAGATAAAGTATACTTCAGATAAATCCATCATCTGAACACAGAGAGAGAAAGAAGCAAATGCAAACCAATCAAAACATGGATGTCCACCAGATGCAAACACAAGTGCAACGGGAGAGGAAAATCTGAAATAAGGTTCTTAAGTCAGGCTGAAACTCAACATTTAGGCTATGAATCCTACTATCAATCCACGATGGATGAAATAAAATATGGTGGTGGCAGCATCATGGTGTGGTGACAGTTTTCTCTGGCTAACCCATGACAGCTTTTCAAACACCCCACTACAGCTCTAAGAATCTGTTGACAGAACAACCGTGTCTCCACCAATCTGGTCTTTATTGACGGAAAAAAGCTTTAGTGTGGAGAAATGACACAGATTTGGAAGAAATCTTGAATCCTTTATCCCCATGGTGAAACATAGATAGTATTATTATGTGACAAACGTTGCTCCAGTAGGAAATAAAACCTGTTCAAGTTTGTAAGAGACCTCTAAAGATACATCCAGAGATATAAAAGAATGGCTCAGTCAAAGTCCAGACCTAAATCCAATTGAAGATCTATGGCAAGACTTAAAAATAGATTTTCTCCTTTAGTGAAGTAGATTTGCAGCCAGGCAAAGCTGACGCAGACATAATCATAACGACCCACTGAAGCATAAACCATGGATCAGTTTCCTTCCGCTAGACAAACAGCACCTCATTTGTGTTGATCTATCAAATAAGATCCCAATAAAATAAATTAAAGTTGAATACTTGTGTAAGGTGGAGACCATGAGGCTCCTCCTGTCATGCCTTCAGTCTTATCACTAAAATTATTGATGGAATGCATATCACAGTGGATGTTTACGAGCATTTCCAGCTTTCCTTCACTCTTCACCAGACACCTCGAGCAATCCTGCATTTACTGTAAGCTGGTGTCTTATTTCCCTTCAATTAGATCTACTCGTGACTGAAGCCTCCACACATTTACCACAACTAAAAGGAGGTTCATTATCTCTTCCTGGCACCTCGCCCCTCAGCCTTGGAGGGCCTTCAGCTATATCATCCATTATACACAGAGGCACAGATGTCCACAATGCTGACTTGTTTATGTGGTCAGGGTAGGGAGACGGGGTAAAACAGGCACTGTTCATCTATGTTTTTTTTTGTAGAAACCCGAGCCGTATTGCAAAAAAGAAAGACAAGATGCAGAACTAGAAGCACAAACGACATAGATGACCCTGGGGATATCATGCCTGCACAGGTTGGCTTCATTAAACCGTTTGCCTGGTGTGTGTATGAGCACATTAAATTCAACAATTCCAGGAAGTGATACCATCTTGTCCCAGTTGACCACATGTTACTCCAGACTGGTCTGACAGTGGCCCTGGGCACTGTCGAGCCATCGTAATTGTCTCCATCATTTAAGCAGCAACATGTGTTGGGTATTCGTATGGCTGGTTTTCCAGGGGCCGTTGTTTGGCTGTAATCAAGATGAACATCCACCAGTAGAGGAAATTCACTTGGCCAAACCTTTTCTTGGCATGCGGTTATCAGCAGCTCAATCACAGAGCGTGGTGATGACATTTTAGGAGAGCTGGGATAAAAAGGTACACTATATTGCCAAAAGTATTTGCTCACCCATCCAAATTATTGGAATCAGGTGTTCCAATCACTTCCATGGCCACAGGTGTATAAATTCAAGCACCTAGGCATGCAGACTGTTTTTACAAACATTTGTGAAAGAATGGGTCGCTCTCAGGAGCTCAGTGAATTCCAGCGTGGAACTGTGATAGGATGCCACCTGTGCAACAAATCCAGTCGTGAAATTTCCTCGCTCCTAAATATTCCACAGTCAACTGTCAGCTGTATTATAAGAAAATGGAAGTGTTTGGGAACGACAGCAACTCAGCCACGAAGTGGTAGGCCACGTAAACTGACGGAGCGGGGTCAGCGGATGCTGACGCGCATAGTGCGAAGAGGTCGCCAACTTTCTGCAGAGTCAATCACTACAGACCTCCAAACTTCATGTGGCCTTCAGATTAGCTCAAGAACAGTGCGCAGAGAGCTTCATGGAATGGGTTTCCATGGTCGAGCAGCTGCATCCAAGCCATACATCACCAAGTGCAATGCAAAGCGTCGGATGCGGTGGTGTAAAGCACGCCGCCACTGGACTCTAGAGCAGTGGAGACGCGTTCTCTGTAGTGACGAATCGCGCTTCTCCATCTGGCAATCTGATGGACGGGTCTGGGTTTGGCGGTTGCCAGGAGAACGGTACTTGTCTGACTGCATTGTGCCAAGTGTAAAGTTTGTTGGAGGGGGGATTATGGTGTGGGGTTGTTTTTCAGGAGCTGGGCTTGGCCCCTTAGTTCCAGTGAAAGGAACTCTGAATGCTTCAGCATCCCAAGACATTTTGGACAATTCCATGCTCCCAACTTTGTGGGAACAGTTTGGAGCTGGCCCCTTCCTCTTCCAACATGACTGTGCACCAGTGCACAAAGCAAGGTCCATAAAGACATGGATGACAGAGTCTGGTGTGGATGAACTTGACTGGCCTGCACAGAGTCCTGACCTCAACCCGATAGAACACCTTTGGGATGAATTAGAGCGGAGACTGAGAGCCAGGCCTTCTCGTCCAACATCAGTGTGCAACCTCACAAATGCGCTTCTGGAAGAATGGTCAAAAATTCCCATAAACACACTCCTAAACCTTGTGGACAGCCTTCCCAGAAGAGTTGAAGCTGTTCTAGCTGCAAAGGGTGGACCGACGTCATATTGAACCCTATGGATTAGGAACGGGATGCCACTTAAGCTCATATGTGAGTCAAGGCAGGTGAGCAAATACTTTTGGCAATATAGTGTATTTCAGTCACCACTGAAACCAAAATCTCCTAGTAAAATCAGGCAAAGGGTGATTTATATACAATGTTGAACCAGACTCAGGTCCTGAGCCAGCATGGTAACATGATGGTAAAATCCCCCTAATCCTACAAATCTGCTCACTGACACATCTATTCGAGATCTTTATACATCAAAAATTCAAAACACTCCAGTTTTTTTCCTTCTCCACACCATCTAAAGGCACATCAGAGCTTTTACTGACCTTTACAGCGCAGCTTTTAAAAAAAAAGCATGAAACGGCAATAAAAAGATGTGCATAACGAATTATATTCAGTAAAAAAAAACATCTAAAAAGACCTGACTAAATAACTAGGAAGCACTTGAGAGATCATCATCTTGGACTCTATGCTACAGTATATCGTTCCCTCTCCATTAATTCCTATGGAACTAGTACGATGAGGCAATAAATGCTTGTCTCCTCGAACCAAGCAACCAGTGAAATGTCGAGCTTATGCACATTAATATGCAAACACGGGCTTTTGACGCAACACAATTCCTGTCACCGTCACGTAACACTACAGCCAATCAGTGATGGTTTCATTAACTGAACTGTTAGAGCTAGCTAAAAGCTGCAGTCTGTACCTGCCTCCATGTTGGGGGATGAACCCGTTTTTCTTGTGTCCAACTTTCCTATACTGTATGATTTCAGTCAGTTCAAACAAGAATCATCTGACTCTTCATCCTTGATACTGTGTCCATCACTGAACACTTAAAAAATGTTAAGGTCTCCCCAGTTTAATAGCAAACCATATTTCGAGCTTGGAGACGAGCAACCCAGAGCGCAATTCATCCGGTATGCTGGGTTTCATGGTGGTGGCAATGACATCAGTTTGTTAGTGTTATTTGTCGCTGCCCAAGCGTCAAACCAATTGCAGCTGTAATCTTGGCTATTTTATGGTATGTTATGGGCCATGGGTCATAATTGGCCATTCAGAGGCCATTGGTTGGTCTGCATTAGAATATGAATATTAGCACATTGTTAAATTTAGGTGAATGTGCTGATGTTACTCTGATCTTCATTTTCTATTTTCAAATACATCTTTTGCTAAAACTGTTAGCATTCCTACCTGCTTAGATGTTCATACACTTTTTAAACTCAATACAGCATTGTTCTTCTGCAAGCCTATCTTTGTGTTCTCCATTCCCTAAAGGTAAAACCTTTTAAAGATCTTTAATTGCATGTTTTCTTTAGAGAAGACAGCACATTTAAAATTTTTTACCAAACTCACAGCAACTCCATACCTATGGACTTTGCTTTGTGCATTGGACCAAATGTTTTATAAGTTGGAATTGAACACAGCCTTGCCCAAACTGTTTCAACACAACTTGGACCAAATTATTGTCCAAAATGTCTTGGTTTGCTGCAGCATCAAGACTGTCTTCTACTGAAACTAAGGGACTGAGCTCAACTCTGCAAAATTAAAAGTCCAACAGCATAATACTCCCTCCACCAAACTACATACTTGCTCAATGCAGTGAGGCAAGTGTCTTTCTCCTGGGAACCAAGGGGCCTGATTTATCACCCCAGAAAACACTACTCCACTGTGCTTTTGTCCAGAGACCGCCTTGGATCTGAAAGTGTTCTCTTGCACCTGTGGTCGGTAGCACTAGTAGTATCCCATGATGGTATCATGCATGAATTAATGAGCTCTAAAAACGACCCATAATTTTATGAATGTTGGTGAATCAGTCACATGTGGACAAGACAGCGACTACAGCTACTGAACTCAATGGTTTGGATGGCTGACCCTGTACTTCTGGAAAGAAATGACATATTTTAAAATACTTCTGTGCATCACACTGTCTGTACTTCACAGTAATATATAAACCCATCAGCCAGATGGTGTAAAGTCCTGCAAAAACACAGGCACTGCTCTTAAAAACTAACAGAAAATGTACAGGCTTGCCCCTCATGTGCAAAATGTCTCTGAAAAACCTTAGATTTAGGACATCTACAGCATTTAGTAGCCTCTCCCATTACATGCTTACATGAAATACAGCTGGGAAGGGACCCAGCCACAGCCCTGCACCCAGCTGCATGAATAAGGAAACATGCTGTACGAATCAGGCCTGGTAACCAGTCGCAGTACATTTAGTTTCAATGTCTGTTACTTATTAGGCAGTCGTAGAGCAAAACGAAGAGCTGAGCGGAACTTCCAACAAACAGCTGCCTTCATATAGCTCTGTAAAAATCCAAGCCTAAGCTTAAGTCTGCTGCAACTAGTGATCAGACCTCAGCCGCTTAGTTGAAGTGATTTCACATAATGGGTGTAAAATTCTCAGGACAAAATGGATCAAACTAACTTTGGACCAAAACCTCCTTCTTCAATAAGCATCAACATCAGCGGCAGAGCAAGAGAAAACCAATACTTCTCTGGTTCGACTTGTTGAGTAGAGAAGATTCCTGCTCTGATATGCAGACAGCATACCTGTGCCATGTCATCCAAGCAGTTGAAGATATACTTGCGAGCCTCCTTGGACTTGATCCCCGTCTCAACCTCATGGTCTTCCGGAGTCTGCAAGAGACAAGCAGTAGATGTTTGGTGAAACTATTGTCAAACCTCTCCCTCTGGAAATCTTCCATTTATATTTGGTTCATTACAGTATTTTGTTGTTGATGTGCATAAGACCTCATCCTGCCCTCCCAGTAACCCTGGGGTAGCACACAAATACTCATCAAACAGCAAAGCCAGAGGGTTTGGACTGCTTACTATGCCACACTGTATATCATGCAAATGCTACAACAATATGCAGTCTACACAGCAGATTTACATCAGTGCACCTGGATAGACACAAACCAGACAGGTATAAACATTCAATCAATACAACGGATGCAGATTTACACTCTGCGTCTTTGTGCTGACCAGACTGCAGAAACCTCCTGACTTAACACAAAGTATCTTATTATCTAATTAGTCAGCAATGTAAAACAGCTGGTGTTTGGTGGAAAAACATGGCTAGGGTGAGTTAAAGCTGCGCCGTCACTCATCAAAGACTGAAAAAAGTTTCAAGGACACCCTGATTTCACACAAACCAGATGTAAGACAGCCTTGATGAGTTACAGCGCTACGGTGTCAGGAGGAAGTTACACAAATCCATCTCTGTTCGGCTACATTCCAAACAATGAAGACGATTACTTTAAATAGGAGGCATTCTTCCTGATGTTCACCATAAAGCATTGCTTGTTTCGAAATGTTGCAAATATGGCAAAGAAAGGAGAAAGAAACAAGTAAAAAGTGCAACAAAAAGGCACCAAACATCCATCTGAGTTAAAAGCATTATGTCTCACACCGACTTTTTTGCAGGTCTTAATTGAGCCATTTCAACTATTTTTAATAAAAAAAGTATCCCTCCTGCATGATCCTGCCACCACTAGAGATCAACCAATACAGGTATTTTAATGCTGAGGTTGATACCGATTATTTCATCATAAGTCTAACCCAGGTATCCCTAAAGTCGGTCCTTGAGGGCCGCTGTCCTGCAGGTTTTAGAGGTTTCCCTGCTCCAGCACAGCTGATATACATTGATAGTTGATTAACAGGCTTTTGATGAACTGCAATCATCAGAATCAGCGGTGCTAAAGCAGAGAAACCTCTAAAACCTGCAGGACAGCGGCCCTTGAGGACCGACTTTGGGGATGTCTGGTCTAACCCTATGTCAAACTTATGTCCCATATGGCCACTATCCTGCAACCTTCAGATATCTCCCTGGTCCAGCACATCAGAGTCAAATGGCTTAAGTACCCGGGTCGACCACGTTGAGGACTAAGGCCTCCCCACATTGGTTGTGCGAACTTATAACTGCGCCACCGAAGCACGCCCGTTCTGATGATTTTTTTTAACCAAAATTGCTTTCTTTTCCTCGATTTAAATGGTTAAAAAAAGAAGGGTTTTTCTCTGATTAAATATTTAATCAAGCTCAGGATACATATATTTTTTGCTTTAATCTTCACTATTTCCTCCCATAAGCTCTTTGCACCACACAGGAGGCGGAGCTTACTCTGAGCTGGAGCTAGAGCCAGAGCTTAAAATGGACGCTTTCAATAAACCGGTTCAGTTTTAGATACAAGGAGCCTCATCACTGTGTCGATATGTGCATCAGAAATTTATTCAAACGCAGACTGAAGTCCACCGGAAATAAAAGCAGAAGAAGGCAACCATGAGGCACACAAAGCAACCAAGATGGACGAAGATCTAGCAGAACAGATGCTACAGCTTGATGTATAAGCACTTACGATTGTACAGAAACAAAAATTGTCCCTGTTGCAATTATTCAGCATCTGGCAATGTTGGTGCACACACTTGCAGAGGGGAGCTTCTCATGTGGAGGCTGTAAACTCCATCCCTTCCACCTGACTCACTCGGCGCTAGGCAAGCTGTCGTTTGGCCAAACAAAAAGGGGCTTGAGCTTTCAGCGATGGAAAGTGGAAAATCCAGAGCCTGGATAGCTCCAGTGCCCAGATAGCTCCAGCTCCCTCCTACATTTTGGCGGTATCTTTTGGTCTTAATGATGCGGTTTGTTTCCAGTGTTCTCTGAAGTAAGAACAGCTTCATTTGTACTCAGATTAAATTGCACACATCTGCACTATATTTAGACACTGGCTGTCTTGAAGAGCAGGCTGGTTAGGCTGGATTTTATTTAGGAGTAATAAAAAGGAAGGATTTTTTTTCAGATCCAAAACTAAAGTTTATTCCAAAAATAAAAATCCTCTCACCCAGATATACTCTAGTGTGGTTTGCTCCATTAAAAAAAATCACAATAAAGTATAATCAGGTTTGTAGCTGTAAGGCGACACAATGTGAACACATTAAAGGGGAACATATACATTTGAAAGGCACTGCATGCTTTTCTCACTAAAAGACCATATACTCTGCATTATTCGTATTGTCAGCAGTGGTATGTTTCCAGGATCCATAGAAGCACATGCTCCAAACAGCACATTATAAAAAGCTCATTATGTGCTGCAGTGAAGGATCAGTATCTATTGCTCTTTTTAGTCACAAACTCAATGTGCAAATTTTATCTGCATGGAGGACAAGTTCAGATGAAGCAAACCATTTTATTGAGTGGCCTAAATGGAGCTTATAGTAGAGTGGAGGTTAGAGCACCCTCTTAGCTCCCACATAGATCTGTTTTACCCTTATTACACTCTCAAAATACAACTAAAGAATAAGCTAAATGCCTTACACGTATGGCAGAAACAGCAAAAATATATAAACAAATTCATAAATACATCAAAGCTTTTTTGATAGTAATATTACAGATGTTGTTTGGAACAAATTTCAAAAATGTCTGGTCATTTTCTACCTATCATCCACTTTTACTGCTATATATTAGTCTGATCTTGATTTTTTATGCAATATTTGTATGCATTTTATTTTTATTTTCAAGTATATCCATCAATATAATCAACAGCAATATAAGTCATAGGTAAATTCAAAGTCACACCCCCACCATGTCACATGTTGTTTGTGTACCTTCAGTCTCCAAAGAGGGTAGGTGGTGTCTGGATCTCTGTTGAAGAAGCGGGTGGTCTTTGTCCCTGCACTTAAAAGATATTCTGCAGGAAGACCCTGCGTCTGCGAGATGTACCGGATCTGCAAAACAGAAATGCAAACATTTTTAATTTAACTACCGGTATTTAAATTTAACTTTGAACAGCAAAAACAAACAAAAAAAAGTTTTTTGGTGGTTGAAAGTGTAATTTCTGTCATGGATGATGGTAAAGACTCTTGAAGAGGTATAAAATGTAATGATATAGGCGACATTATCTGACAATCCCACAAGCCATTAAGAGATGGGGGCAGGAGAGAGCAACATGCATCACAGGATTTGTGCTAATTAGACAGTAGGCTCTGCTGCATCTGTTCCTTTAGACAGAAAAACTCAACGACAATCATCGCAGGTTATATGATGAATGTCATAAAGAACCAGGAAAAGCGTATAAACAAGGTTTTATTGCAAAGTGAATGAATAACATCATCATAATCTTCATTATACGGCGTTACCTGATCGTACTCTGAGGCTCCAGGGTACAGGGGCCATCCCAGAAACAGCTCAGCTATTACACAACCCAGCGACCACATGTCGATGGCCTCACAAAACGGAAGGCCGAGGATGATCTCTGGAGCCCTGCGGACACAAGAACACAGACATGGATTAGAGACCTTATGGCTTTATTTTAAACTCTGTGAATTATTCTCATTTGATTTAACTGACTTCCATCCAAACAAACATTTTTGACACTAAGGCACCTTTACATTATAACATTGTCAATAACCCACAGTCAATACTGTTTAATGCAGAGGGAAGCTGTAGTGATGTGGTAAAGTAATGTTTCCAAAGCAATCTTGTGCTGATTAGAAAATCCACATATCTGGAGATGGAGAAGAGTTTGAAACATAAAAATTAGTCAAACTGCAGCGTCAGAAGTTTGTTTGGATTTTCCTAATGCTTATTTTTTACTAAAACCTTGAAAGCTCAACAGAGTTGTTAGCAGGATGTGCCTTGCTAGACACAGATCATTTATAATCTAATAGCTTAAATAAATCCTTTTTATTTGTTTTGGACAAACACTGCTCCTTAGATGTGCTCAGATACAGCAGTACAAAGGCATACGATACCGAGCTCAAAAATACTTCCCTTCATTCTAATTATATATCCTAAAACTTTTATGTAAGACAGAAGAAAAGGTTGCTTTGCACTGCCTGTCAACTGGCTGAAAGAAGGCTGCTGGACCTTTCTGACACATGGCACCAAGATAACAATAACCCAACAACCTAAAATGAGCATGTGAAAACTAAAGGAGTGCAACCAATCCGTTTTATTCAAAACTGTTTTAAAACTACGGTTATCAAGCAGAGAGAGAATGACTGATGTTAAAGCCCGATAGAGTTCTTTAAAAAGTCATAAAACTCAAAATATTCATCATACAACTGCCTTTAAATGTCCTAGGGTTGGCTGTGTGCAGTATTTTAATCTGAGTATTGTTTACACCCAAGAGGTTTAAATAAAATAAATTAACAAATTGAATCATAAAGACCAGAAAAAAAAGGCTTGAGGCAGCATGACATTTTCTTCTTGGAAAGGAATGGGATACAGAGTCTAAGTCTGTACTAGGGCTGAAACAATTAATTGTGATTAATCGATTATTTAAATAATCATCAACTAATGTATTTATCTTTAATCGTTAACTGGAGTATAGAGACTGTAAATCATGCCTTTAACTGATAGAGCTACCCACTTAAAGCAGTAATTATATCAAAATAAAAAGAAAATATAAACATTCTGCCTTTAAGATTAAAACAATTTTTTTCATCTGTCAATATGCTCTATTCAGAACTCCTCAAGTGGAAAAGTTTTAGTTTCACCTGGTTCAATTTCATAAAAAGAACCTCAAGCAACCTTATCTGATTACTCTGAACCTATGCAAAAAATGCAAAATGCTGGAGGCTGAAAACAACAACTTGTTAGAGAAACAACAGAGTGGTTTAAATCAAGAACAGATCTATGGGTTAGAATGGCTTAAACAAAGTCAATATCGACAGCAAATACAAAATAGTTTCCATCCCAATAGACTAAACTTTGTTTTTTTTTATGGTTCTAGAAACAACAGACTCAAGAGGGCTGGATACAAATGTACACCACACTTTTAAGATTAAAAAAAAAAGAATAAGAAAACAAAACAATTAAGAGCTAATTTGTGTCACTCTAGAAAGAACAAAGTATTGTTTTGTGTCATTTGTAGGGTATTTTTTTCATTATTTATTAGGCATCAGAATTAGCACAAGAAAAAATAGATAGATGAAATAATCAGAAATTGTCATTGCTCTTTTGTTTGGAACTAAGATTATTCAGATTGTTTGTCTTCACCAAAGATTTATTGTCTCATATATCTTAGCAGTTCTTTATTTTGGTCTCCACACTATCTGTCTTGTCAGAAGGATGAATACGCTTACATCTTCAATGATGCCTAAAATAACCAGGAGCAACGTGATTCCTCACACAAAAGTACTTTTAAGAGATTCTCAGCCTGTCATCGCCATAGGAGGGACACTCTTAGTCTCACACTTTCTTCCTCTAGGTAAGATGTAGTCTCTTGGCTCCAAAGAAATCTAATCTAGGCTGAATCAACTAAAATCCCTGTTCATTCATTTGTAATATATATTAACAGCAGGACACACGGTTCAAAGGAGCTCAAGACGGATCTTGGAAAGTTTCAAGTTCACAATCCTGATTGCCGTGACCATGGTAACCGGCCCCCCAACTTCTTAGGACACTGCTGGGTTTTGGTCATGGAAAAGAGCATGGCGGGGGCATTCGCCATGGGTCTTTACAGAGATGCGAAAGGGTTGGAGGTAATTGAATAAAAAAACACTGTAAAGACTTAAAAGAACATTTCCAACAGCAGCCCTTTCTGCCCCCTTTTCAGTGCCCAGCAGTGATGGAGAAATAACGACTGGACACATTTTATGGCACCTTGTATGTGGCTGAAACATTGAGGCAGAAGACATTACAAGGACAGGTGATTATGAACTGTAAAAAAAACAGGAAGGGCCAGGATATTATGGTCCAAAGAGGCAGAGGGAAAAAGAAATGCCTTACAAACTAAAGAGCTCCTGACACAGAAGGTGGTTATTGGGGTCTAAAGGGCAGCAATGGAACAAACACCAAAGACGATACTCTGGCAACAGTTTCTCAGGGCACCATTACACACCAATACAGAGTAAACATCATACACAATGAGCTGGAACATCAGTCAAAAGGTTCCCAAAGAAACAGAAGGTGGACTGCCTGGCGGTGATGAGACAAGGAAGAGCAAGATCTGCCAAAGGTAGGGAGGGAAAAAGATGGAGTGAAGGAGACGGGCTGGAGTTTCACTTCATTTATACATGCAAAAGCTGCGTATACGAGAAAATCTAGAATATAAATCTGCTCCAGTCTGCATTTTTTTTTATATCAGAAAAAAATCCATTGTAAACCCGTCCACGAATCCATGTGCAGTTTTGTGGGTGATTTCATTCATAGATATGTTCATCATTGAGCTGTACATGGCAGCGTGATGTCATTAAAACACCATTGATAAATAAAGCAATATTTTCATTATGATCAACACTTTTCAGCATAAACCTTGTCCATCACTAGAGGTATTGACTGTTTTCTGTCTTAAAATAATATCTAAACAAATATTGCCCCCAACCAATCTGATAGTAAAGTATTAACAAAACTAATTACAACTATGCATCATGCCATACACCTGAAAAACACAGACAGCATTAATGAAAGCAAAGTAGGGATATTTTACCAATGTAGGACTCTATGTTTGACCAAAGATGGCTTTTGATCATTTTTATCTGTCACTAAATGCACAGAGAACTGACACGAGAGATCTGCCTGCAGCAGCTAATGCTAAGCAAGTAAACATTTAACCATTCTGTTTTGACTGGTTAAAGTTTGTTGGAGTTCTTGTACTATCACCATTAGTTGTTTGGTCTCGTCAGCAGGGCAGCTGAAATTATTATATCTAGCTTAAGCCAGAAGCAATTTAATGGAGGTTCTGGTCATTTAGTACCTTACTAATTTTGGATGGCTCTTAGCGGATTTCTTTTAGGCATAAAATAAAGCCACTTTCAATAAGGGCTTTTGTATGAACTATTTATGTTTTTAGATGGTCCAAGGCATCATTTATTAAAGGGAGATTTTCTCTTTTACTTAAAAGCACCATATCCCTTCCCAACGCTGCAGCAATACAAGCAATCTTCTTTGGACAAAATCATTTGCATATCTTAAACGAATTTGGACAAAACTAAGATTTCTTTCATTACAATAATGGATATGAGTATGATAATAGTAATGATCTTCATGCGTATGTTGGTATAAACCTACAAACATTACAATGAAAAATAAGACATAAGGTTCTTTTCACTGTCTGCTCTTTCAGTGCTATTTGTTATCAATCCTAAGGCTTTTAAGGGAGAATAAGATCAAAAGGAGACCAACAACTCAATATGCAATATGCTGAGAGTATAAAGATGTTCTTGCATGCTGTACCTGACGAGGATAACCAGTCTTTTGAGCCAAAAAATACAAAATTCATGCCAAGTCCCTGATTTGCAGGGGTAGGAAGTTCCTAAAACCTATCCGATTTTTATTACTCATGCTTAAAAAAACTGATCTGATCAAATTATGCCAACATAAATGCTTCAGTGAAAAAGAGAAATCCCCTTTTATGAATGAATCAGATTATTTTGATAAAAAACTGAAGTCCAGACGAACCTCAATGTAAGTCTTTTCTTACGAATTTTATAAACGCATTTTTAGGTGATGCTGTTTGAACGATCAAATGAGACAGCTGATCTTCAAAACAATAAAGGTGATATTTCAATTTCTCACAGATCTTTAAACTGAATCTCTTGCTGCTGCCTGTGGTGACTTTTTTTGTTGTTAATGCTTGGATCAATAGCAGCCTGCAGCATCTTTGATTTTACACCGGTTTTGTGGTTAAAGGTGGTTTTAATGCCCCTCTTTCTACAGAAACCTTCTCTAAACTAGCAAAACAAAAACAGAGAGGAAGCAAGGTAGAGGGAGTAACCTTGTTGTGCATGATATGAAACCACAAATGCAAACTTAACCCTACCAATGCACCTCTGCCATTGCCTGCAGAGCGTATTGAAGCTGCAGCTAATGCAGGCCTATCACCAGCTTGGATAAGCAATGAAGTGATAAGTGCACACATCTGCTAAGCTTAGAAAAACACTACTACTAATAAGCCCTAACCCTAGTACCTTTCTGTTCTCCCCTTGCATTCTGAAAGAAAAGCACACACTGCATAACCTTTTATGCATTTGGGATTATTTGTGTTGATAAATGCATGCCAAAGGCAGATTAGCTTTTGGAGTTAATTGAATATTTTGTTTTGGAGATACAATTAGGTTTTTAGCTCACAGAAAACATTGGCTTGTGAATGGCTTCTATGTTCTGATGGAGAAAAGAACTAAAAATCAAATCCTACTAATATTGGCTATTTTGTGATAATCTATTCAATTAATTTCAAAACAATTGTGCTTTAACGTTCACTTTGTCCCAGTTTGCCCCTATTCAGCAATGCAAAAAAAAAAGGCTATGAAACAAAC